AGAGTGAGAGAGAGAGAAAGGGAGACAGAGAGACAAAGACAGACAAAGAAAAAGATAAACAGGGAAGAAATGGAATGGAGGGAAATACACAGTAATCATAACTGTGAATGTGAATGGGATTAACTCACCCATAAAATGGAAGTAGACAACAGAAAGGATTAAAAACCAGAATCCAACAACATGTTTTTACAAGAAACACACGTGAAACAGAGACACATACAGAGTGAAAATAAAAGACGGGAGCAGAATCTATTATGCTTCAGATGAGGTTTTTTAAAAAAGTAGAAGTAGCAACCACGATCTCAGATAAAGCAAAAGCAAAAACAGAACTAATTTAAAAAGATAAAAAGGGAAACAACATTTTGCTAAAATGTACCATAGCCAATGAGATAATATCAATACTAAACATATATGCATCAAATGGCAGAGTATCCAAATTCTTAAAGTTACAGTTAAATGAGTTACTGGAGGAAATAGCAGCAAAACCATACTAATAGGGAACTTCAACCTCCCTCTCTCAGAACTAGATAAATCTAACCATAAAATAAACAAAAAAGAAGCCAAGGAGATGAATAGAATTTTAGAAAATTTAGATATGATATACCTCTGGAAAAAACTGAATGGAGATAGAAAAGAGTATACTTTTTTCTCTGTGGTACACGGCACCTTCACAAAATTGACCACGTATTAGAGCATAAAAATCTCATGACCAAGTACAGAAAAGCAAAAATATTAATTGCACCCTTTCCAGACCATAATGCAATAAAAATTACATTCAGTAAAGGGCCATGGAAACATAGATTAAAAATTAATTGGAAACTAAATAACCTAATAATAAAGAATAAATGGGTCAAAGAACAAATCATAAAAACAATCAACAGTTTCATTAAAGAGAATGTCAATAATGAGACAACATACCAAAACTTCTGGGATGTAGTCAAAATAGTACTTAGGGGAAATTTTATATCTCTAAATGCTTGCATGAATAAAATAAAATGAAAAGCAGATCAATGAATATGGCATGCACATTTTAAAAGCAGATGAAGAACAAATAAAAAATCCCAAATTAAATACCAAATTGAAAATCCTGAAAAATCAATTCAGGGATTAATAAAATTGAAAGAAAATCATTGAACTAATAAACAAAATTAGGAGCTAATTTTATGGGAAAAAAACCCAATAAAGTAGATAAAACCTTGGTTAATTTGATTTTTTTTTAAAGAGAGAAAAACAAATTACCAGTATCAAAAAATGAAAAGGATGAATTCATGACCAACGAAGATGAAATTAAGACAATCATGAGGAGCTATTTTGCCCAATTACAGGCCAATAAATCTAACAATTTAAGTTAAATAGATAAATATTTACAAAAATATAAATTGCCCAGATTAACATAAAAGGAAATGGAATACTTAAATAACTCTTAGAAAAAGAAATTGAGCAAGCCATAAATGAGCTACCTAAGAAAAAATTCCATGGACCAGAAGGATTCACAAATGAATTCTACCAAACATTTAAAGAACAGCTGATTCCAATACTATATAAACTATTTAGGAAAACAGGCAAAGAAGGAGTCCTACCAAATTCCTTCTATCACACAACTATGGTGCTGATACCTAAACTAGGAAGAGCAAAAACAGAGAAAGAAAGCTATAGCCCAATTTCCCTAATTAATATAGATGCAAAAATTTTAAATTAAATACTAGCAAGGAAATTACAAAAGTATATGACAAAGATCATACATTATGACCATGTGGAATTTATGCCAGTAATACATTTCATTGAACACACAAATATGTTCGATATTTGGGAAACTATCAGCATAACTGACCATATCAATAATAAAAACAATAAAAATATATGATTACAACAATAGATACAGAAAAAAGCCATTGACAAAATACAACACTCATTCCTATCAAAAAACACTAGAAAGCATGAATAAATGGAGTTTTCCTTAAAATAATAAGTAAGATCTATCTAAAACCATTAGCAAGCCATACCTGTATTGGGGAAGAGGATGCCTATTTTCACCACTGTTATTCAATATTGTACTAGAAATACTAGCTATGGCAACAAGAGAAGAAAAAGAAATTGAAGGAATTAGTATAGGCAATGAGAAAACAAAACTATCATTCTTTGCAGATGATATGATAGTATACTTGGAGAATCCTAGAGAATCAACTGAAAAACTAATTGAAGTAATTAACTTCAGCAAAGTTGCAGGATATAAAATAAACCCATATAAATCATCAAAATTTCTATCTATTACCAGCAAAGTCAGCAAGAAGAGATAGAAGGAGAAATTCCACTTAAAATAACTGCGGACAATATAAAATACTCGAGAGTATGCCTGCCAAGACAAACCCAGGAACTATATAAACACAATTACAAAACACTTTTCAGACAAATAAAGTAAAATCTAAGCAATTAGAGGAATATCAATTGCTCATGATTAGGCCAAGCCAACATAATAAAAATGACAATTCTACCTACATTAATTTACTTATTTAGTGCCATACCAATCAAACTACCAAACAATTATTTCATAGAACTAAAAAAAATAATCACAAAATCCATCTGGAAGAATAAAAGGTCAAGAATATCAAGAAAATCAATGAAAAACGTGAAGGAAGGTGGCCTAGCAGTATTAGATCTCAAACTGAATTACAAAACAACAATCATTAAAACAGTCTGGGACTGGCTAAGAAATAGTGATGGATTAATGGAACAAATTAGGTACACAGTAGTACATGACCATAGTAATCTAGTGCTTGATAAAGTCAAAGATCCAAACTTTTGGGACAAAAATTCACTATTTTACAAAAGTTGTGTGGAAAACTGGAAATCAGTTTGACAGAAACTAGATATAGACCAACACCTTACGCAGTATACCAAGATAAGATCAAAATGGGTACATGATTTAGACATAGGGGGTGATATCATAAGCAAATTAGGGAAGCATGAAAAATTTTGCCTAGCATATATGAATAAGGGAAGAATTTGTGACCCAACAAGAGATAGAGAGCATTACAGGAACTAAAATGGATATTTTAGATTACCTTAAAAAATTTGGGGGAAAAAAAAAAAGATTTTGTGCAAACAAAATCAGTGCAGCTAAGATTAAAAAGAAAGCAGGAAGCCAGGGGAAAATTTTACAGCAAGTTTCTCTGATAAAGGCCTCATTTCTCAAATATATAGAGAACTAAGTTGAAGTTATAAGAATACAAGTCATTTCTCAATTGATAAATAATCAAAGGATATAAACAGGCAGTTTTCAAAAGAAGAAATTAAAGCTATCTATAGCTCTAAACCACTACTGATTAGAGAAATGCTAATTAAAACAACTCTGACATACCACCTAACACCTATCAGATTGGTTAATATTACGGAAAAGGGAAATAACAAATGTTAGAAGGGATGTGGAAAAATTGGGACACTAATGCACTCTTGGTGGAGTTGTGAACTGATCTAAGCATTCTGGAGAGCAATTTGGAACTACGCCCAAAGAGCTATAAAACTCTGCATACCCTTTGACTCAGATATACCACTACTAGGTCTATGTTCCAAAGAGATCAAAGAAAAAGGAAAAGGAGCTATACGTACAAAAATATTTATAGCAGCTCTTTTTGTGGTGACAAAGAATTAGAAATTGAGAGGATGCCCCTCAGTTGGGAAATGGCTGAACAAGTTGTGCTATATGATTATGCTGTTGTGCTGTAAGAAATGATGAACAGGAGGGTTTCAGAAAAACCTGGGAAGACAAATAAGTACTGGTACAAAATGAAATGAACACAACCAAGAAAACATTATACATAGTAACAGCAATATTGTACAATGATCAATTGTAAATGACATCACTATTGTCAGCAATACAATTATCCAAGACAATTCCAAAGGACTTATGATGAAAAATCCTATCTACTTCCAGAGAAAGAAGTCTGAATGCAGATCAAAGCATACTTTGTTTACTTTATTTTTATTGGGGTTTTTTTTGGTCTGTCTTTCACAATATGGTTAATATGGAAATTTGTTTTGCATGACTTCACATGCAGAATCTATATCAAATTGCTTGTCTCTCAAGAGGGGAGAGGAGGGAGGAAGGGAGAAAATTTGGATTCAAAATTTTTAAAAAATATTAAAATTGTTACATGTAATTGCGAAAAATAAAATAAGAGAGATAAAAATTAAATTTAAAAAGATTACAAGAGACAAAATAATATAAAGACAAACAACTTCAAACTACTTAGGAACTCTGATCAACCCAGTGGAATCAACCACAATTTCAAGGAACTCATGATGAAACATTCTATATAGATATAGAGGTGGTGGATTCACAATGAAAATCAAAGTGCATTTTTCTTTTTTCTTTTCTTTATTTTTTTGGGGGGGAGAAATGGTTATTGAAGGAATTTGTTTTGCTTGACTGTACACATTTACAATTTTGCTTTTCTTGCTTCCTCAGTTAGTGGGGGAAGAGAATCTAGAGAACTGAAAATAAAATAAAATTGAATTTTAAAAAAAGATTGTAAGTTACAGAGTAGCTGTTGATCTACATAGACAAAGTTTCCTCATCAGCAGACACAGGTTTAGACCAAAGGGAAAAAAATACCAAGTCAGCCTGCCATAGTGGATAGAAGACTAAAGAAAGAGAGGTAAATCTTAGTACAGTAGGGTGGCCTCAAAGTCAGGAAGACCTAGTTTCAAAACCTGCCTCTGACATTTACTCCTTTCTTCATCTGTAATATGGGGATAATAATACCTCTAGTACCTATCTCACAGAAGTGTTATGAGACTCAAGTCAAATAAAGAAATTATTTTCACTCATTTAAAAGCATATATACATATATATATGTATATACATATATATATATATGTGTATATATATATATATATATATATATATACTTACATGTTTATACATATTTAAAACTATATAAATGCCAGTTACCATGATTATTGTGAACATAGCTATTTCTTACCAGCTGCCAATTACACACCTGTACAGGGGGTTTGGCCCACAATCCACTCCTCGCTGACTGGGTTTTTTGCCACGCATTTGAACTCCTTTCGTGGTGGGTACTTCTTTGGCCAGGTGTACTTGAGTCTCATTCCCTCTTTTTTCACGGTCCCCATCTTCAAAGGCTGTGTCCCATTTTCAAACAAAGTCAGCTCAGCATCAGTCCCCCTCTGAACCTCACAAATGACAATTCTTTCAGTGCAGTTCCATGTCATTTCTGGCTTTGAAACAGCCTCTTTGAAAAGAAAAAAAAATTTAAATCCCATTTGCTTTGAGAATATCTCCGAATGGAAAATGTATTCTAGCTTGTGTAGCCTACATGGACTCAAAGCAAAGCTGGCCCCAGGGTAGGGATTGGGATGTGCCTCTCAAGCCATGGCCAGATTGTGAAAATCCTGTTGGTGACAGCCCACTCCAATTCCATTCCATTCAACAAACATTTTAATGCCTCCGGCATTGTAATAGAGTGTAAGCTCCATGAGGGCAGGGATCACTTGTTTTTGTCTTCCTAGCCTCCCCACCAAGTACTATGCCTTGTACATAATAGGTGTTAAATAAAAGTTTGTTTAATTAAATTTGAGAACACTGGGCTAGGTGCTGTGACAGATGAAAGGTTTAGTTAAATGAGTCTTTCGTCATGAAACTTACAGTCTAGTAGGACTATTTAGGAATAAATATTTCCCAAGGCATAAAAGCTGACTAGAATGTAAATGTATCTATATTAAGATTTTTACTTAGCTCAAAATTGAGATTGCTTCATATGGTTACTGGGGATGGCAAAGGTGCTTTGAGAGTGGAAATGTAAAGAAAGAGGTTACCTTGCATTGTTAAGGGGATAAAGGGGAGTGAGAGGGGATAAGGTGGGCAAGAAGTCCTAGAGAGAAAATACAACAGGATGCTTCATGAAGTAATAAGTTTTCCATTCCTGGCAGTGCGTAAGAAGTGGTTGAATGACCATCTATTAGTGAGGAGAAGGAATCCATATCACGGGTAAAGTATTGAGCTAAGTGACCTATAAGGTCTTTTAATTGAGATCATTTGACACTGGGGATATTTGTCATAACAGAGAGGGTTGGGCTTTGGAGTCGAAAAGACCCCCATTCAAGTCTTGCCTCTGGGTCAGCTAGGTGGTGCAGTGGATAGAACACTGGATCTGGAGTCAGAAGAACCTGAGTTCAATCTGGCATTAGACCCTTACTAGCTGTGTGACCCTGGGCAAGTCTCTTAACCCCAATTGCCTCCCCCTCCCAAAAAAAAATAGCCTTGCCTCTCATACTGAGTTTGCAACCCTGGACAAGACACTTACTCTGAGACTATTAAATGAAGAAGACTGGACAATCTTCATTGGCATAGAGTACATCACACCAGCACTTCCCTATGCTGATAAAATCATAAAGTCTGGGGATATTTAGGGAAATCCATTCATTTTTCATTGCTGTTTTCCTCTTACAGTTAACAAGTTGCCTCATGTAGAAGCCTGGGATTGGATTACTAAGGACCTGGGAAAAACAATGAGAGCAAGGCAAGAATGAGGAGGGGGAAGACCACCTCAGTAATCAGGTCATCAGAAAACAGCTTCCTCATGAAGCACAAGACACGAAATTTCAGCCAGGGCATCTGTCCATAGTCAAAACCTCATCTGCCTCCCTTGTTTCTCCACTAAGCAGTCCTCTACCAGAGTCCCTAGCCAGGCAGAGACCATAGAAATGTTGACCATCTGACTGGCACCTACCACTGAAGGAAACAGAGAAAAGGAATACTTACCCATTACATGCAGAGTCAATACTTTCTCCAAAAGGTTTGTTCCATTTTTATGATACACTGAAACCTTGTAGTTTTGCTCGGAGTTTTTCTCCAGCTCTTTAATTTTCAGGGTCCCATTTGGGAATATCTCGTAGATTGTGTCTCTCAGGTAAAAACTGTGATTACCTCCATTTTGGTTCACTTTTGCGATCAGAGTCGGTCCTTTAAACCACCGTATATCATCTTTATCTTGGTCCTTCAGGAAATCAGGGATGTCCAAAGAGATGGACTTAGTCAGTATGCCCCAAACAACATTCTTTTCTACTGTGACACCTGTAAAAGAAAGCAAGGACATTGTGGAATCATCAAAAATTGGTGACCCATTGAAGAAACTGAGTGTCCCCCCCCCCAAGGTCCCAGAGCCAAAGAACAAGCAATTGAGCTGGGTCTAGACCGTGGGTCTTCTGAATCCTAATCCAGTGCTCTTAAAGGAAAGAGAAGAAGATAAGAGAATGTGCCAGGGGACATTCCCACAAGGAAAAAGAACCGTTCCAAACCCTCTTAGATTCCAACACTCAGAAGTTTGATGTTTTAAAAGCAGCTTCTCAAACTATCGCAGGAAGAAGGAGGAACCATCAGAGACCCAAACAGTTCACTTACCTCTTGGGGAAAAGAACAAAAGAAGCAGATAGATGACTAAAAAGTGACTTTGGAAATTCATCTTTGGAAGATATCTCCACCTTGGGTTACAAAAACTCCATCGAAGAGAGAAGTGGCAATTCTCCAGTAGGACCTCAAGGACTGTCCCTTCTTGTCTTTCTGCTTCTTCTACATTTGTATTCAAGAGTTCAAGTTACACAATGTACAGTATTCTAATTCAGCTGGGTGGGGATTGGGGGATGGGAGGGAGGAGACCAGAGGAAGGATGCCAAGCTTGCTGTGGGCACAAGGGAAGGAAAAAAATTTCTCTACGCACACAACTGCCTTCAAATTTTCAGTGAAAGGAAACAGCAGGATTATGAGGAGGAGTTAGCGTATTCAAAGGCTTCCAAAGCTCCTTCTCCCCTCCCGCTACCTTTGACTGCTCCTTCCCCCTTTTTCACACAGACAAGCAGGAAATGGAGCTAAAGAGGGCACTGTGGCCTCACATAACTTGATCTGTTTTAAAAGTACTTGAGTGTTAGAAATTACAGTACTGGCACCCACAGGAGACTTACTTGTTTTTGTGGCTTCTTACCTTTAAATAGTGTCCTTTTGTAAACTGGCCCAATTGTAAATCCCTCAATGATAGAGGAATGGTCTCTTATTGGTTTTGCGAATGGTCTTACTAATAACCAATAATTATGTAGAGTTAGCAGAGTGCTTTCTACACATGATTTCATCCAATCCCTACAGCACGAGTTTTTCTAAACTTGGGTAGTATCTTTATTTTTGGTAGTATCTTAGTTGTTGTTATATTTGTACTTCACCTCCGTAAGCACTATATTAATCCCTCCAGCTATTTAAATCATTCTTTATTTCTTCACGTAAGTACTTTACAATGTTGCCGTATCTTAATATATGTGTTTAGAGCAGGGATTCTTGAACTTTTTTTGTGTGTCATAGACCCATTTGGTAGTGTGGTGAAGCCTATGGACCCATTCTCAGAATAAGATACAGCAACATTTTTGAGGTGGGGGCAGCAGGTGTTATTATCCTCATTTTATCGATTAAGAGACTAAAGTCCAAAGAGTTTAAGCGACTTGCTCCATGTGAGTATCAGAGATGGGATTTGAACTCAGCTCTTCCAAATTACAGCTCCTAGATTCTGTCCACTACAATAAGTGCTTCCATACCATCTCCCTCACTCTCCCATACTGCCCTCCCCCACTCTCCCAATCCCATTGTGTCTGGAAGAGTTTGCCCTCTAGCCTTTGACCAAAGGTTTAGGTCATGAATCTTAACCTTTTTTGTGCCATGAATTCCACAGACAATCTTGGGAAGCCCATGGACTTCTCAGAGTCGTGTTTTTTAAATACATAAAATAAAATACAAAGATTGCAAAGGAAATATGAAAATATAGTTATTAAAATATTTTAAAAAGCAAACACAATGATCTCAGGTTAACAACCCCTACAGGTTAGTTCCTACAGTACTCTTTCTTTCATTTCAGTTCAGCAAACATTAAGGCCTGTGTCCTGAGTACTGAGCTAAGTACTGGGGACAAGTGCAAAGTACAGATGGAATAATGACACCCAAGTAGGTGAAATAGGACACATATGTAAATAACTATAATGAAAAATAGTAAGTGATAAGTTCCTAAGAGAGGTGCAAAAGTTATGTGATGTGCAAGGGAAGAAAGGTCAGTGCTGACAGGCAGCATCATGGAGCTTCCTAGAGGAATTAGGCCAAGATTCTTCTGCCAGAAAAAAAGAGAGAAGTTCAAAGGATTCTAGATTTAATGTTTCAAGGGAGCTTAAGGATCATCTAATCCAATACCCAGCTTTTACAGAAAAGGGAGCTGAGGTCCAGAGGGTGAAGGGACTCATCCCCACACAGGTACAAAGAAGCAAAGTCATCATTTGAACCCAAATCCTCTTATTCTGAAAACAGCACCCAACCTGGAATGCTGAGAGTCCCCTCAGGCTGGGATTAGCTTCTGACTTTGGCGTCTGGAGATGCAGAAACTTGGAACTTAAAGCCAAGGTCTGCTATGACCACTGAGCTCCAGGGGATGTCAGAAGAAGGTGAAGCATGGTAAAATGTTACATTTACTAAAGGCAAAAAAATGAAGTTGGTGGGGAAAATGAATCTATCTGGAAAGCAATCAAAAATCAAGAAATCTACCCCCTTAAAATAGTAAGCTAGACCCCCAACCTTCATTCTAATTTACCCAATTATTTATGGATTGTCTCTTGAGTATGAAACATGGTACTCCTCACACAAAACCCACTGGGATGCAAAGTTGGGAAATTGTTTTTTAATGTCACCATTGGCTAGGTGAGCAATTGAAAGGACCCAGAATTGACAGAATCACAGAATTTTAGAGTTGGAATAGTCCTCAGTGACCAATTAGTTTGACTCAGGCCTGAAAAAGAAATTCTCCTACAAAAATCCCCCAAAATGTCATCCAGCCCTTGAAAACTGTCAATGACAAAGAGTCCCATGTCTTTTCTACTTTTGGATAGCTCTCTTAGGAAGTCTTCCCTGACATCAGACCTAAATTTGACTCTTTACTACTTCCACCCATTACTCCTGGTCCTGTCCCCTGAGATGAAACAGAACAAATTCAATCGGTCCTCCACTTGACAGACCTAAAAATACTGAGCAATCACATTCCCCGCTGAGCCTTCTCTTCTCCAGGTTAAACAGTCCTAGTTCCTTCAACCTACCCTGTTTTAAGTGCAGCGTGGATTAAGTCAGAAAGTTGTAAAAGGGCAAGTGGAAGAATGGGAACTTAGTTCAAATCCAACCCAGGTGAGTGAGCGTCAAAGATGAGCTGCCCTTGAGACCAGACGTTGTCCAAACAAACTGCCCTGCTCTAAAGCACAATGAATCATCAGTCCATTGGGTAGAGCTCTTTCCTCTGAAATCTCAGAATGTGTTTTGTAGTTATAAGGGAAGTGATACCCACAAAGCATCCCATTTAACAGGAGAAATAATGAAAACAAAAACAAAACTCAGTTGATCGTAGATGGTCTATCAGGAACTAGCCCTGGCTGGGTCACCTTGAGCATATCAGAGGACCTAGTTTCAAATCTCCTCTGTGTGACCTTGGACAAACCACTTCACCTCCCTTAGTCTTTGTCTTACTCATCTTTAAAATGAACAATTTTGACTAGATGGATTCTGAGGTCTCTTCCATCTCAAAATGTATGATCCGATGATTCTTTTTCTCTCCTTGGCTCAATTTCCTTCTCTGTAAAATGGGGGATGGACTCAATCACCAAGGTTCCTTTCAGGCCTAAGCTTTAATCATTCTGTGATTTAGTTCACCTGATCTCAATTAAAAAGAAAAATCTTCTACCCCACTTATCATTTGGACTAACTTCATCTCTGTGTAGGAAGGCTGGGAGATACCAAAATAAGAATCCTAATGTGAGCAGACATACTCTCACTGAGGCTGATCCATTCAGTGGCCTCCAGGTTATCTTTTCTTTGGTACCTTTGAGAAAAAAAAGACATTTAGAGGCAGATTCAGGAAGGCCACCTGGGATCAATCCATACACATCTTTATTAAGCACTTAATATGAGCGCGTATATGTGGGTAGGGGTACACACAATTTTTATATATATATATATATATATATATATATATATATTTATACACATACACAGAGCTGTGGGGCAGCTAGTCAGCACAGCAGATAGAGTACAAGGTCTGAAGTCAGGAAGACCCGAATTCAAATCCAGCCTCAGACATTTATCAGTTATGTGACCCTGGGCAAGTCACTTAACCTTGTTTGCCTCAGTTTCTTCATCTGTAAAATGAACTGGAGGAGGAAATGAGAAACCACCCCAGCATCTTTGCCAAGAAAACCCCAAATGGGGTCCAGAAAGAGTTGGATACAACTGAAATGACTGAGCAATATGATACAAGCTATTTTGGGGAAAGTACACCAGCAGTTGGGAGGATGAGGAAAGGTTTCCTACAGAAGGTGATGCTCTAGATGAGTCTTAAAGGAAACTAGGGGTTGTAGGACGCAGAAATGATTGGGCATTGTATTTCAGGCCCCAAGGACAGCTAGCGCAAAGGCACAGTTAACAGGAAATTGAGAGTCGTGTTCTCGGAATGGTGAGTAAGCCACCATGGCTGGACCAAGTCTAAGAAGAAGAGTATGGCAGAAAAAGATGGAGGAAGTAAGAAGGGGTCAAGTAAAAACATAGTTAAATGTCAAACAGAGGCATTTGGTTTTGATCTTAGGGAATCACTGAGGCTTATAGGGCAGGGAAATAACATGATCAGAGGAGAAGCTTGAGGAGAAGCTTTTGGCAGCTCTTTGGAGGACGGATGGAAATGGGAAGGCTTGAGACAAACAGACCAAACCGAAGGCTATTACAACAGGCCTGGTGAGAGGTGATGATGACTCGGGCATTGGTGAGTGAATGGAAAGAAGGATGTGAGAAAAGCTAAGAAAAAAGAAACAAGACTTGGCAACAGATTGGGTCAGGGGTAGGAAACCTGTGGGCTTGAGACTACACGGGGCCCTCTAGGTCCTTAAGTGTGGCCCTTTGACTGAATCCAAGCTTCACAGAACAAATATCCTTAATAAAAGGATTTGTTCTGTAAAACTTGGACTCAGTCAAAAAGCCACGCCCGAGGACCTAGAAGGCCACATATGGCCTCGAGCCCACAGGTTCCCCACTCTGGATTGAGTAGTGAAATGTTAGTGAGGAATCAAGGCTTGAACCTGAGTAACTATAAGGACTCAGCCCCTAAAAGTCTTCAAATGCTGTTTTTTAGTGGGGAAAGAGGGCTGGAATAGGAATCGAGAGGCTTGGACAGCAATCCAGGCTAAGTGAGCACAGACGAGAGGGAGAATTGCTGTACTGGAGCATAGCTCAGTGGCTTACTGTAATACAGAATGGGGAAACCGCCTTCCTAGCTTAACCACCCCTGGGCTCAGGCATGTGGCCAGGAGGTGACATCTTTATGACTAAAGTGGTGAAAACAAAAATTCATTAGCAATAATATCCTATAAAAGCTACTAGACATAATTGCTACTCCCACAAAAGTCAGTCTTACTATTCAATTGAATTAAAAAACAAACATATTTATTGAGTCTTTGCCAATATGAAGAGCCTGGATAGGGATACAAGCAAAAAAGTGCCGGGTCTTTGTCCTAATGTTGCTGTCTTTGCATGTCATTTGCGTGTCATTATTTTGCCTCTGTCTTGGTTTCTGTTTATGATGATCTATGAGCCTCCGTCTGTCTATATTCAATCTATAAGAATTCTATAGGTAGATAGGAATCTATTTAGCTCAAGGAATCTAAGGACCTTGAGGGCAAGAATTGCTATGTTTTTTTCTATTTCCCCCCAAAGAGGGCAGCTAGGTGGCACAATGGATAGAGTACCAAGAAGACTCATCTTCAGGAAGACTCATCTTCATGAGTTCAAATCAGGCCTCAGACACTAGCTGTGTGACCCTGGGCAAGTCACTTA